AAGCCCAGGAGTGCTGCCAAGGCTTGCTGGAAAGATCCAAGGAGCCAACTTCCAATCCATCCTCTTAACACCCACCACAGACACCGGGAAGTAATGAGGGCAAGCAGCTCAGTGAAGTCTGAAGCAAATAACATGCACAAACTGACTGGATTCCCTCTATTCCAGGTATGGAATTGCTACTGACCTGCCATGAGCTTCTTCAGCAGCTTCTGGCTCTTGTTGGAGTCCCGCTGAAGAATGTCCTGCTCTTCTTTAGTGCACACCTAAGGAAAAAGAGGAAATGAAGACTTGGGAAGCCCAACAACAACCCTTAACTCAGAGGTGTTCTCTCCTCGTTGGCCACTGGGATTTAAACTGATCTTTCAAAGTAGCAACAAATCTGATTTAAAACATTTTGTCCACCCAACCAATATTTTCCTCTCACATGAAGAGGAATTTCCTCTCATCTGCCATCATTAACTTGCCCCCTTTCTCAAAAGGTGCCCTTTAAACAGAATACGGGTGTAACAGATATCCCAAAGGATTCATCTTGCACAAGCACTGAAGAAAAGTCAGGACACTGGCCTTGGCTGCGGCTCCTGCCCCTGACAAGGCAGCCAGGGCTGTGCCCAGGATGGGGCTGAAGCTTTGCAGATATTTTGGACACTGCTGTGATGCACAGGAGACTGACAGAAACCAGACAAGCTCCAAACTGATAATAAATGATGAGGGAAACCTCCTAAGAGGTTCCTTCCTGCACAGCTTTAGAACTTTGCTAGAGGAACTTCTATGTAAGAGGCTAATCCAGAAAACTTCTCCAGGTCCAAGCAAGGCAAAAAAACCCCCTGGTGACTCACCAGGGCCCCACAGAACAGGCAGGGCCCGGAGCCCTCCTGGGCGCAGACGATGCGCCCGCATGTCAGGCAGTTGTTGATGAGCTTGTGCTTCTGGCCCAGGCACTCACAGGCATGACGGCCTGGGATGAGCACGGCCAGCCTGTCCTGCCCCTCCTTGGTGTACAGGCTGACGTATTTGGGCTTCTTCTTACAGGAAATGCTACTGCTGCCGACAACACTGCTGCTCTCCTGGGCCTGGGGAAGCAAAAAAATAAACAAACAAACAGTGCTCAAAGTGCCAAACTGGCAGCAGAGAGTGAGCACTGACCCTCGGGCAGGTCAGGGGACTCACAAGTGTTATTCTGCCTCACTGCAAGGAAACTTGGACCAGACCCCAGACTGAACGGAAAGACAAGCTCAGGCCTGCCAGAAAAGCTCCAAGAATCCAAACAAATCAAGGAACAAGGATGTTGCTGATGCACTTGATGTTTGTTGCCCATGTGAGCTGGAGCTGCTCGGATCGAGGCTGCAGTAGCAGCTCACGGGGGCTTAACAGCTCCAAACAGCAGCTCAGCTACTTCCAGATTTATTCCAAAGATTATTTAGACTATGGCAATGCCCTGGGAAACCCTGTGTGTGCCTGTCCCAACACAGAGCTATTGGTGGCAGCAGGGCCACTGCATTCACAGCCAGGGCACCTCCCAGCAGCTTTCCCATGTCCCACATGGTACAGCAACCTCAGCAGAGGTTTTCTATGCACAGCAGGTTCAAGTATTGAGCTGCAAAATAAACTCTGCTCCTCCTTCTGAGACTTGGCCTCAGTGATTCTGGGATTCACCTGAGTTTCACTCTAGTGATGCAGCATTTCCAGTTCCCCCAGTAAAGCCTGACTGGTTTTAGTGCCACTGCCAGATCCAAACAGTGCCACCATGAAAAAAAACCAAAACCAGATAAAGTGACCTTGGTAGAGCTCTCTCACTTGTTTTCTTTTAATTTTAATTAAATTAGAGGATAACTACAGGGCAATGGAACACCAATATCCATTTTAACCCTTCAATTCAAAAACGTGGGGGTTTATCTTACAAACACTTTTACAAACACTTTGCAGCCTCTCTGCTCCAAAAACTTCCATTTAAAAACACAAATTCAAGTTCCACTCCTTATTCAGGTTCATCTCTGCCTCTCAGGGCTTGGATGCTGCTACAAAGAGTAGGTTGACTACCACAGAGGAAGGCAACTACTGCTTGTTGCACAGCCTTGTGCTGCTTGGAAAGAGCAGCATTTCTTGAGACTTAGCATTTCTACGCTCTTATTTTGCAGTTTCTTTCAGAAATATTTCAGCTGCCAATTCAAGTTTATTCAGCATGACTGGGAAGGTTTAAATACAGCAAGAAGGAATGTTCTATCCACTTGGTGGTTTCCTCAGTTCCCCACCGTCACACCTCTGCTTTAAAGAAATCCCTTTTATTCCCAATTACAGCCTCGACTTCCTTTGCCTGCTCTCTCATCCAGGCATTTGGGGGGAGCAAAATTCACCCTGACATGGATTTGCTGCCTGTTGATTATTTTACTCCCGATTATAGACACAAACATACATAAGCTTTCTCCCCAGACTACATATCATAGAATCGTAGAATCATTTAGGTTGGAAAAGCCTTACAAGATGAAAGTCCAACCACTAACCCAGCACTGTCATGTACCACAACTAACCCATGACCCCAAGTGCCTTTTGAACACTTCCAGGGATGGGGACTCCACCTGTACCAGTGCCTGACCAGCCTTTCCATGAAAAAAATTTCCCCAATATCCAACCTAAACCTCCCCTGGCACAGCTTGAGGTTGTTTCCTCTCATCCTGTCCCTTATTCCCTGGGAGCAGAGCCTGACCCCCACCAGGCTCCACTCTCCTGTCAGGGAGTTGGAAAAAGCATGAAGGTCCCTCCTGAGCCTCCTTTTCTCCAGGTTGAGCCCCCCCAGCTCCCTCAGCTACTCCTGATGCTCCAGACCCTTCCCCAGCCCCGTTCCCTTCTTTGGACACGCTCCAGCCCCTCGATGTCTTTCTTGTCATGAGGGGCCCAGAACTGACCCCAGGATTTGAGGTGTGGCCTCAGCAGTGCCCACCACAGGGGGACGGGCACTGCCCTGGGCCTGTGGCCACACTATGGTTGGCACAAGCCAGGTTCCATTGGCCACCTGGGCATGCCAGCCCCACATGTCCTGAATGCTCATTTCCACTTTCCAATCCCACCTTTATTGGTGTTTGATATTCCTTTTCCCAAACCTCAGGTTCCCAGCCTGCCCAGTCACCCCCAGCCACCCCAGTGTCCCCTCCATGCTCACCTTGGCCAGGTCCAGGGGGGTTTTTACCTCCTCCACATGTGTGCTGGGCTCGGTGTACGCAGGCATCTCCTGCTTGTTCCTGCCTTTGCGTTTCCCCTTCTTCCCTTGGTCTCCAGCCCGTGGCACTTCCAAAGCCTCTGGAAGTGTGTACAAGCACAGAGAGGCTGGGTGAGCACCAACAAGCGAAAGATGTCCCTGGACTCTACTTGGTGACTAAAAATGGGCTTCAACCTGTTCCCATGATCAGGAATGAGACCATTACCCATGCAGGGGTTCATGGCATACGATTCTTTATGAACACAACAACCCAGACAAGCTTATTGGAGACTTGGTTCCTTCTTCCCTGTGGCACTCACCGTCCTTCTTCCGATATGCTGGGAAAGGCTCAGATGGCAGCTGGGAGGATTTCCTCCACCTGGAAAGCAGCTCTTCCACAAACCAGCTCTTCTTCCCATCGGTGCCCTGGAGGAGGTCGATGACGTACTCCCGGATCTCGTCCTCATTGGTTATGGACAGGATGTACCTGCGAGGGGGAAAGGGGATAAACGTGGGTAAGGGGCTGCTGTTCTAGCTCTGATGCAGGAGTTTAATGAGACAGGTGTGTCATTTCTCTCCTTTTCAGGTCAGGTTTGTGGAGATTGTAGTAAGAGTTCCAACTCTGGCAGGGGTTGGAACGAGACGAGCTTTAAGGTCCCTCCCAACCCAAACCAGTTTGTGAAGGAGCAGGCAACTGCTGAAGAGTTAACAGTGTGTCTCCAAACCTCTGTATCCTCATGGAAATAATGTTCCCAGAAAAGTCTGGCAAAGTGCACCATCTGTCTCCAAGGACCTCAGGGGGGTTTCTGAAAATGGGTGGAGTAATTGGTAATTCAGGCAACTTCTCAGTGCTCTGACTTACTTTGTTAGTGATGTTCTAGAAAAGCTTAGGGGAGCACTGGTGACTTCCATGTGCCAGCAATGGAATTGCTTTTCCAAGATGAAACCTCAAAGATAAACTTGTAGGCTGCCCTGCTGACTGAAAAGCTGGCAGTATAAAATGCTGTCTTACAGGCGCTGTTTTCAATAGAGAATTCTCTGCCGAACCTCCATTTTCCCACCGAATACAGATATTCCTCAACTGCCTGGGGCCCCCCCATAAGAATCAGCCCGGAATTGTCCTGCAGGACAAGCAAACAAAGGCCTTTAAGTGTGTGATTCTGTGACCCCACATACCCCTCCCCGCCACCTCCCGCCCCTCCAGTGCCCCCACCCGAGGGACAACCCTGCGCACAGACCCCCGAGCGCTGCTCTGACACACTCCGTTCCCTCCGTGTTGGACCGGGGAGGGGTGTCGAGGGGCAGGGGGGTCCTGGCCACACTCACCTCACCACCTCCTCGCCCACGTCCAGCCCAAAGTCGCCCCGCAGGTGTTGGACGCACCAGGCCAAGAGCGCTCTGGGCGCCGCCATCTTTCGCGGGGGGCGGGAAACGGCACCGCACCGCCCGGCACCCTCCGCTTCCCTTCCCTCCGGCAACGCGCCCGCGGCGCGACCGTTCCGGGCCCGTTCGTAGAGTCCGGGAATGGTTTGGGTGGGAAGGGACCCGAAGGATCATCCAGTCCCACTCCCTGCCATGGGAAGGGACACCTTCCACTAGACCACGTTGCTCCAAGCCGCGTCCAACCTGGCATTGGACACTTTCAGCGATGGGGCAGCCACAGCTTCTCTGGGCAACCTGTGACAGTGCCTCACCCCTTCACAGGGAAGAATTCCTTCCCAATATCCATGTAGCATGCAGGTCCCGGGCGTCCGCGGGGAGCGGGGCGGCCCCCGCGCTGCCATTGGCGGCTGAGGGCGCGGCGGGGCCGGGGCGGGGCCGGGCAGTGCCGGGATGGTGCGGACCAAGGCGGACCAGCGCGGCGGCGCCTTCCGCAAGGGTGCGGGACGGGGGATGGAACGGGATGAGATGGGATGGGACGGGACGGGACGGGACAGGGGGAGAGGGGGACCGGGGGACCGGGTCCCAGGTGCCGCCGCTGATCGCCCGCTCTCCCCGCAGTGTTGGTCGCCCGGGCTCCCCGGAAGGCGCTGGGGCCCGCCAGCCTCAACGCGGGACCGCCGCCGCCGGTCAGGAAGGGTGAGCTCCTTCTCCTTTCCTTCTCCTTTCCTTCTCCTTTCCTTCTCCTTTCCTT